CCCCCCCCCAAAATCCTGCTCATCCCTCGTTTTGCATCTTTTTAAGCAGCTCTATATTTGGAAAGAGAGAATATCTATATATCTATATCTCCAGAGCTATAGCCACCTGGTTTTTGTTAGGATTTTCCTAAAAAAAAATTCCTATCTCTGGACTGGAGGAGACGCCCGTGGCTCGCGGGAGTTTTTAAGCGACTGAATGAATGTGAAAAAGTCTTTTTAAACACACCACAACAACCCCCTAAAATCCCACCCCCCCCCACCCCGAAACAGCTCCTTTCGGGCGCTCTGGATTTGTAAAGATTCAGAGAAATCACAAAAACACACACACACACACACAAAAAACAAAAAACAAACAAAAAAAAAAAAAAAGAAAAAAAAAAAAAAAAAACCAAACTTGCGTTTTGGGACACACCGAGTCTTCCAGGCACACAGCAGGGAGGTCCCCGGGGGTCGTGTCCCCACTTTTGGGGGTCCCAGGGCTGGTGGTGGCCGCGGGGACGATGCCCGGGGGAGGGGGCGCTGCCGGGACCCCGCCCCCCTCGGCGGTGTCCCCAGCGCCACCCGCGTGTCCCCCGGGCTGGGGGCGAGCCCGGCTGGCCGGGAGGGGAGGGCTCGGTGGTCCCAAAAGCCGAGGCCCCCAGGAAGGCATTAAAAAAAACAAAAAACAAAAAAAAAAAAACTCTTCTGGTGCTAAGAGGGGAGGACAGGGAGCTCCGTCCTGACCCTCAACATCTCCGAACCTTTCCGACCTTGCCAGGGAAAAGGGCCCGGAGCTCCCCCGGGGTGTCCCCAGGATGTCCCCTGTCCTCTGTCGGGGTGCCAGGACCTCCCCGGGATGTCCCCTGCCCTGTGCCAGGCACCGGGGTGTCCTTGAGATGTCCCCTGCCCTGTGCCAGGCACCGGGGTGTCCCCAGGATGTCCCCTGTCCTCTGTCGGGGTGCCAGGACCTCCCCGGGATGTCCCCTGCCCTGTTCCAGGCACCGGGGTGTCCCCAGGATGTCCCCTGTCCTATGTCGGGGTGCCAGGACCTCCCCGGGATGTCCCCTGCCCTGTGACAGGCACCGGGGTGTCCTTGAGATGTCCCCTGCCCTGTGACAGGCACCGGGGTGTCCCCGGGATGTCCCCTCTGCCATCTCCTTGTCCCCGAGCCCTCGCCCCCGTGGCGACACCCGCCGTTCTCCGGAAGCCACCGGGGGCGCGTGGCCTGTCCCCGTCCCCGGCTGCCACCCCGCTGTCCCACCCGGGAACGGGGAAGGGCCCGCTGGGCGACGAGCCGGGAAAAAAAAAAATCCCGGGAAAAAAAAAAAAAAAACCGCCGGGTGTCCCCTGCCCAGCTCAGGTCCTGCCCTCGGCCGTGTCCCCGCAGCTGGCAGCCCCGCCGTGTCACCAAGTGTCACCCGCGCCCCCCAGATCCTCCGTGCCAGCCCCGCCACGGTCACTGCCCCGCGATCCGCCCTGCCACCGGGAGCCCAAATCCAGCCCATCCTTATTCCCCAAATCCATCCCACCCACATCCCCCAAATCCAGCCCAACCTTATCCCCAAATCCATCCCATCCTTATCCCCAAAATCCAGCCCAACCTTATCCCCAAATCCAGCCCAACCTTATCCCCAAATCCAGCCCAACCTTATCCCCAAATCCATCCCAACCTTATCCTCAAATCCAGCCCACCTGTACCCCAAATCCAGCCCAACCTTATCCCCAAATCCATCCCAACCTTATCCCCAAACCCGTCCCACCCGTATCCCCAAATCCATCCCACCCTTATCCCAAATCCAGCCCACCTTTATCCCCCAAATCCATCGCACCCACATCCCCCAAACCCATCCCACCCACATCCCCCAAATCCAGCCCACCTGTACCCCAAATCCATCTCATCCTTATTCCCAAATCCATCCCACCCTTATCCCAAATCCATCCCATCCTTATCCCCCAAACCCATCCCACCCTTATCCCCAAATCCAGCCCATCCTTATCCCCCAAATCCATCCCAGCCTTATTCCCCAAATCCATCCCATCCTTATCCCCCAAATCCATCCCAACCTTATCCCCAAACCCGTCCCACCCGTATCCCCAAATCCATCCCACCCTTATCCCAAATCCAGCCCACCTTTATCCCCCAAATCCATCGCACCCACATCCCCCAAACCCATCCCACCCACATCCCCCAAATCCAGCCCACCTGTACCCCAAATCCATCTCATCCTTATTCCCAAATCCATCCCACCCTTATCCCAAATCCATCCCATCCTTATCCCCCAAACCCATCCCACCCTTATCCCCAAATCCAGCCCATCCTTATCCCCCAAATCCATCCCAGCCTTATTCCCCAAATCCATCCCATCCTTATCCCCCAAATCCATCCCACCCTTATCCCCAAACCCGTCCCACCCGTATCCCCAAATCCATCCCACCCTTATCCCCAAATCCAGCCCATCCTTATCCCCCAAATCCATCCCAGCCTTATTCCCCATATCCATCCCATCCTTATCCCCCAAATCCATCCCAGCCTTATTCCCCATATCCATCCCATCCTTATCCCCCAAATCCATCCCAGCCTTATTCCCCATATCCATCCCATCCTTATCCCCCAAATCCATCCCAGCCTTATTCCCCATATCCATCCCATCCTTATCCCCCAAATCCATCCCAGCCTTATTCCCCATATCCATCCCATCCTTATCCCCCAAATCCATCCCAGCCTTATTCCCCATATCCATCCCATCCTTATCCCCCAAATCCATCCCAGCCTTATTCCCCATATCCATCCCATCCTTATCCCCCAAATCCATCCCAGCCTTATTCCCCATATCCATCCCATCCTTATCCCCCAAATCCATCCCAGCCTTATTCCCCATATCCATCCCATCCTTATCCCCCAAATCCATCCCAGCCTTATTCCCCATATCCATCCCATCCTTATCCCCCAAATCCATCCCAGCCTTATTCCCCATATCCATCCCATCCTTATCCCCCAAATCCATCCCAGCCTTATTCCCCATATCCATCCCATCCTTATCCCCCAAATCCATCCCAGCCTTATTCCCCATATCCATCCCATCCTTATCCCCCAAATCCATCCCAGCCTTATTCCCCATATCCATCCCATCCTTATCCCCCAAATCCATCCCAGCCTTATTCCCCATATCCATCCCATCCTTATCCCCCAAATCCATCCCAGCCTTATTCCCCATATCCATCCCATCCTTATCCCCCAAATCCATCCCAGCCTTATTCCCCATATCCATCCCATCCTTATCCCCCAAATCCATCCCATCCTTATCCCCCAAATCCATCCCACCCACATCCCCCAAATCCAGCCCACCGGGACCCCAAATCCATCCCACCTTTATCCCCAAATCCATCCCACCCTTATCCCAAATCCAGCCCAACCTTATCTCCAAATCCATCCCATCCTTATCCCCCAAATCCATCCCACCCACATCCCCCAAATCCAGCCCACCTGTACCCCAAATCCAGCCCATCCACATCCCTCATGGGCCGGTGCCCCCCGGCCCTGTGCCCCTGCTGTGTCCGGCATTCCCGGGACGCTCTGGGCACAGGGACAGGCTGGCAGCCCCCACCCCAAACCGATCCCACCCAAAATCCCACCCCAGATCCCACCCCAGACAATCCCGTGTCCCCCTCCCGTGCCTCCCCTGTCCCCTCTGTCCCCTCTGTCCCTCCGCCACCTCCCGCTGCTGTCCCGAGCCCCGCCGCACATCCCGGGGAGCTCCCGCTCCCTCCGCATCCCGCCGGGAATGTCGCACGCGGGAATGTCGCACGCGGGAATGTCGCGTGCGGGAATGTCGCATGCGGGAATGTCGCACGGCGGGCGGAGCGCGTGCCGGTGGCGCGGGCTCCTTCCCCAGCTGCGGGCCTGGGGAATTCCCGGGAATTCCTCTGGCTGTCCCTTCCCGGGGCCGCTCGCCTGGGGGGATCCCCGCGGGGCACCTGGCTGTCCCCGCCTTGGGGACACGGGGGTCCCCTCGCGAGCGCTCGGCTCGCACGGCCCCGCACGGCCACCGCTGCCCTCGGCACGTCCTGGCACTGCCCAGCCTGGCACTGCCCAGCCTGCCTGACCATCCTGACCCCAGCCTGGCACTGCCCACTCTGCCTGGCACTGACCACCCTGCCTGACCACCCTGACCCCAACCTGGCACTGCCCATCCTGACCCCAGCCTGGCACTGCCCAGCCTGGCACTGCCCGGCCTGACCCCAGCCTGGCACTGCCCAGCCTGCCAGACCACCCTGACCCCAGCCTGGCACTGCCCACTCTGCCTGGCACTGACCACCCTGCCTGACCACCCTGACCCCAACCTGGCATTGCCCAATCTGACCCCAGCCTGGCGGGCACTGCCCACCCTGACCCCAGCCTGGCACTGCCCAGCCTGGCACTGCCCATCCTGCCTGGCACTGCCCAGCCTGACCCCAGCCTGGCACTGCCCCCCTTGCCCGACCACCCTGCCCACCCCTGCCTGGCACTGCCCTCCCTGTCCCTCCCTGTCCCTCCCTCCCCACTGCCCGCAGCCCCCGGCAGCCCCCGGCGCTCTCGGTGTCCCCCGGGTGGCACCGGCGTCCCGGTGTCCCCGCGCGGAGCCCCCCGGTGTCCCCTCGGGCTCGGGGGCTCCGCCGGGCTCTCCCCGCGGCTCCACGGGCGCGGGTGGAAGGTGACAGTGGTGGCCTGAGCGCGGGCAGCCCGGCGCCGTCCCGCCGGGTGTCCCCGGGTCTCCGCCCCTTCCGCAGCTGTTTTTTGGGGCACACCGAGACGGAGACCCCCCCCGCCCGCGGCCGCCTCTCGCCGCGGAGAGGCCGAACCCGCGGAGCGCCACCGCTCCGCTCAAGCTCGCTCTGGGACCGGAGAGCTGCGCGCCTTCTCGCCATTTCGGAGGAGCCTTCCTCCCTTCTCCCTCCTCCTCCTCGTCCTCCTCCGCGCCCCCCGAGGGCGGAAATGGCCGTGCCCGCCCGGCACCCCCAGCTCCCGCTGAAGCAGCTGCAGCCGTACCTGTGTTGGCGAACACTGAGTGTCACCCGCGCCGCGGGGACACCACGGCTCGTCCCAGTCAGGCCCCACGCCAGAGAAGGCGACTTCCACCCGCGCTGCCCGTCCCGCCAGCGCCCGGGGCTGCCACCAAGCTGCCGCTGTGTCCCCGCAGCCTCCTCGTCCTGCTGTCCCTGTCCCCTGTCCCGTTTAGCCCTGTCCCGTTTATCCCTGTTCCCTTGTCCCGTTTGTCCCTTGTCCCGTTTATCCCTTGTCCCTTGTCCCGTTTACCCCTGTCCCGTTTGTCCCTGTCCCGTTTATCCCTGTCCCGTTTATCCGTGTCCCGTTTATCCCCTGTCCCGTTTGTCCCTTCCCGTTTATCCCTGTCCCCAGTCCCTCTCATCCTTTGTCCCCTGTGCCACTCATCCCTGTCCCTCTGTCCCGTTTATCCCTGTCCCCTGCGCCACTCAGCCATGTCCCGTTTGTCCCTGTCCTGTTTATCCCTTGTCCCGTTTACCCCTGTCCCGTTTATCCCTTGTCCCGTTTATCCCTGTCCCGTTTACCCCTGTCCCGTTTATCCCTGTCCCGTTTATCCCTTGTCCCGTTTAGCCCTTGTCCCGTTTAGCCCTTGTCCCTTGTCCCGTTTGTCCCTGTCCCGTTTACCCCTGTCCCGTTTGTCCCTGTCCCATTTATCCCTTTGTCCTGTTTGTCCCTTCCCGTATATCCCTGTCCCCTTGTCCCGTTTATCCCTGTCCCGTTTATCCCTGTTCCCTTGTCCCGTTTGTCCCTGTCCCCTGTTCCACTCATCCCTGTCCCACTGTCCTGTTTATCCCTGTCCCCTGTGTCACTCAGCCTGTTTATCCCTGTCCTCTGTGCCACTCACCCCTGTCCCCTTGTCCCGTTTATCCTTGTCCCGTTTGTCCCTGTCCCCAGTCCCTCTCATCCTTTGTCCCCTGTGCCACTCATCCTTGTCCCCCTGTCCCGTTTATCCCTGTCCCGTTTGTCCCTGTCCCCAGTCCCTCTCATCCTTTGTCTCCTGTGCCACTCATCCCTGTCCCACTGTCCTGTTTATCCCTGTCCCCTGTGCCACTCACCCCTGTCCCCCTGTCCCGTTTGTCCCTGTCCTGTTTGTCCCTGTTCCCAGTCCCTCTCATCCTTTGTCCCCTGTGTCACTCATCCTGTCCCTGCCCCGCTCATCCCCATTCCGTCCATCCCTGTCCCCTTGTCCCGTTTGTCCTTGTCGCCTGCCCCACTCATCCTTGCCTCCGTGCCATTCATCCCTGTCCCCTTCATCCCTGTCCCCCGCCCCGCCCATCCCTGTCCCCTGCGCCACTCGTCCCTGTCTCCTGTTCAGGTCATTCCTGTCCCCCGCCCGCTCATCCTGTCCCCTGCCCTCGGCATTTCTGTCCCCTGCCCTCGTCATTTCTGTCCCCTGTCCTCGTCACTTCTGTCCCCTGCCCTCGTCATTTCTGTCCCCTGTCGTCGGCATTTCTGTCCCCTGCCCTCGTCATTTCTGTCCCCTGTCCTGCCCACCCCTGC